TTTAATTCAGGCTTTTTACGACCATTAGTAATGAACTATGATTGAAATAAGTTCCATTGTTACCGTAACTCAAAATCATGCAAAAATAATAATTTAGTTCTTTTATGAGAGGGAGGCAGAATATATTAGCATTTAATCCACCCGAAAAGAACAGTGACTCACCAGAACTATCTAGATGGCAGGCAGTCACTCCGTCACCATCTATTGAGGCCTCCTGCGTGAAGCCTTGTTAGCAGGAGGTAATGCTGGTGGTGGAGGTTCAGCTACACTGTGCTGATAGAAATTCTCCATGGATTTTTATGTGTGTGGTATGGTTGCTTTTTTTTTTTTTCAGGAAGCACCAACTAATAAGCTTCTCTATGCCAAGGATATCCCAACCTACAAAGAGGAAGTAAAATCTTACTATAAAGCAATCAGGGATTTGCCTCCATTGTCATCGTTAGAAATGGAAGAATTCTTAACTCAGGAATCTAAGGTATCATTCAAAACTGGAAATAAGCTATTTGGTTACTGTTTTAAAAAATCATTTCAGAGTCTCTCATCAAGCTTTTTTCTTAGAAACACGAAAATGAATTTAATGAAGAAGTGGCCTTGACAGAAATCTACAAATACATCGTAAAATATTTTGATGAGGTAAGATTTCATTTAACATCTTTTTAATCTATGGCTCGCTCAGTCACAAGGATTTGGCTATAGCGTTCTGTAGGTCTCAGGACAGCTCTGGCATCTCAAACAGCCAGAAAGGGAGGCCAGAAAGCCTGTCTGAGGTGGGGGTCTTGGCACCAAGCCCAACCCTGCTCGCAGCTGCCCCTCTTGTCTTTAAATCATGTGCCCACCTTTGGACCAGCTTGCATTTACATTTGAGTGCATGGGACCTCAAGTTAACTCTGAGGAGTAAGTTGTGGCCTTGTTCAAGGGGGCCAGCTTAGGCTTGATTGTAGTCTGCTAAAAATGAAAGCTAAGCCTAGATTCTGTATTCAGTAGTTATATGAAATTATGACATATTTCTAACATAAGCAACTATTTCAATAACAACTGTTTTAATTCAGGCTTTTTACAACCATTAGTAATGAACTACCATTCTCCTTTATGATTAAGTCTCCTTAACCTGGATGCGTTGTTTCCAAATATATGTTAATTCCCCCTTCCCTGATTCCCCCCACTCAGTCATGCTGGGACAGGCTATCCATGTCAATGGTGAGAATAGCTCACCAATTCCATTTGCTACTTGAAGATCAAGTGAAGAGCTAAGGTAGGGTAGAGGCAATGAGTTCCTTAAACATGATAAGCATCCCTCTTTCCAAGGGTGAGAAGGGGAGAAGGGAAGCACTGTGGAGGGGAGGGGAGGGGACAGAAGGGACTACCTGGTCCAGGAGGTGGGGGGTACTTGTCTCTCAGGAGGATGCCCGTGCCTGCTGCATTTAAGGAGAAATACTTGCCTGCATGTTGGCTGCCCAGGAATGCTTGCTGTGCTTGGAATGGCTGTGACATAATGCATAAAGCAGGCCCTCGCAAGTCTGGCCCCGTACTTGTAAGCAAAGAGTTGGTATTTCTTGAGGTCTTCTATTTTAAACTGAAGTGTTGTTGATCCTGTGACAATGACTTAGCAAAACAACTCGCAAAGTGAGTATGTAAATGATGGAAGAAAATGTTGGCATCTGTTTCATACAGATTTTACCACTCACAGCATCAGGATTAAAAAAAAAATACCCAAAACAAAAACAGAATTATAATGCTGAAACCCCAATATCTAAAATAACTGTTCTAATTGTCAACAGATTCTAAATAAACTAGAAAGAGAACGAGGGCTGGAAGAAGCTCAGAAACAACTCTTGCATGTTAAAGTCTTATTTGATGAAAAGAAGAAATGCAAGTGGATATAAGCACTCTGGGGCCTGGCTTAACGTGGCAAAATTCTTCAGACGACTTGGGAGCAAAATGGCTGCTTGAGCTACTCTGTGTCGTTCATTTTTTAGGTTTGCACAAAGGTTCCACTTTGAGCACTGTCTTTTTAAGAGACCAAGGCACACGCACAGCTTTTAGTAAGCATATCGACCACTGTGCCTGTGTGTATACTGTGGGAACCCTTCTGTAAATAGAGTTGAAGTGGTTGTTGCAAACAGCCTCCTTGTTTACAGAGAATACAGGGCCAGTACGCAAGTGTCAGTATTGTAATGACAGTCTCCACTTAAGCACAATGACATCTAAGTGGTTTTTTTGGAAAACTACAGCTGTGTAGCACTTGTAACTACACTGCACCTCTGCAGAAAACAGGATGTTGCCAGTGCTCGAAACAAAATGTGAAAGAGTCACTTGGAAACAAGGTGGAGGTGTTAGGGCAACCTCGAGGATTTGCAGCATTGAAACTTTCCCCAGTAGTTCTTGGAAAAGTTGACCGCAGAATTTGGTAGTGTGTACACTTAGCATTCGTGAGTGTGTGTGTGTGTTTAAACCAAAAACTAACAGTGTTGCAACATTGTTGAAAGGGCTCGTGTTTTTCAGTGGTCGCCAACTGCACTCCATCCGACTCGCCTCCATTTTTCATTCAGGAGCTCTAAAGCAAGGAGAGTGATGGGCTTTATTGAAATGCGACAGTGGTTTACCCAGACACTTTGTCCTAATGTATGTTCCTTTTTTTTTTTATTTGTCTTTTCATACTAAATGTATTTGATGGTGGACATGTTGGGTATTGTAAAAAATACTATTTTTGTTTAAAACCCTTTGATCAGAACTATCTGTGGAAGTGTAAGTCACTCTAACCCTACATTTCTATATTAGTGGCTCCTTGCTTTAGATTTCTGGTGAACCCTGTGGTTATAAATACTTGTGTGTGATTAAAAAAAAGATACATTTTACATTTCATCAAATTGCTGTTCACACTGGAGTATTATATATAAATAAATATATATTTGAGGCCCAAGGCCTAAAAAATATTAGTAAACAACTTGGTATCTTAGTCTTACTATGTACTTTTGGAAATTATTCCTTACAGGAGAAAGAATTTTAAATACTCATTCATGCCTTTCTTTTTAAAGAACTCCCTATCCAGTTATACTGTAGTCTTTTTATTGCTGAGTTTTTTATTCCTGAATTTTTGCTGCTCATGACCAATTTTAATACCACTGTGTTTTCCTTCTATTAAGCCAGAAGTAAAAAGTGTAATTGGCAACTCTCCAGCTTTCCTTGTGGCAGGCACCTTTTACCCTTGGTGCTCTAAGTCCCTGATCTAGGAAAAAAAAAATTCAGGTAGTAAATAAAACATTGATCACACATTCCTTAAAACCATTTACCAACACTGTATGGAACATCAGAACTGAAACGTGAATTTGTCTTAGGTAAATGCAGTTCTTTTCTGTTCCTTAATATCTGGTAGATAGAGAGGTAACGCCTCAGTAAATGGTTCAGAGAAAGAAGCAGTTACTGCCCTGATAGGCACCGTCCCAATCCTGTCGCTTTTGACCACTGTCTGTCCAATGGACACATCTCAAAACTACTACCAAATAGGTTACTTTTAAGTATAAGGTGAGAGGTCTGGTCCCCATCCAAAGCTGCTACAGTCTTCAAAGAGGTGAAGGCATTCATAAGAGAACAGTTATGGAGAGTTGAGAGCCAAGGGTAGGAGAGTTGCCCAAAAGACTTCCCCTTCTCTAGGGTACAGTGAACTCAAAGGATCAGCTACAGCTTTATCTAAGTATTTCCTGAATGCTACACGAGGGTGTCCCTGTCCGGCTCTCTGGCACGTGAGTCCTGTGTGGAGGGTGACCTCCTCTTCCAGGGACTGTGCTGTTAGGAACTTTGGGCAAGTCACTTACCTCTTTGTGCCTCAATTTCTGTATATTTCTAACCTACCTCACCGAGGTGGTGTGAAGATTCACTAATGTATGTAGCGTGTTTGTCAATCCTCCAGTGAAAAGCACTATCTAGATCACGTTTTGGATCACATTAGCCAAATGCAGTAAATGGCCAAATTAGATGTGTGCTGAAGACAATCAGTCACTGGGTCTATAAAAACAGCAACTAGAGAAACAAATGGCAAACAGTATCTATTTTCAAGTTCCTTTGCATATTTTTTGGTGCAAAACAATTCATTTATAAATTTTTTTTCTAACAGTAGTGTCTACAGCAGCATTTAAAAATTAATTCTGTTACCTTTTCTGTATTAGGATTTAAAGTCTATTTCTTATTGTATACTTGATTGAAGCTGTTCTTGGAGATGAATGTTTTAAATGTCTATATCCAAAAATAAAAATTTTGATGTACCTGTGGACTGCTGGTCTTTTGTGTCCCCCCCAATTTTCTAGTTATAATAGGTTTTTCATTCTAAGGGGTGCTATTGAAATTAATTTTCAGAAACAAGGTGTCACTGTGTGTGCAACAAGAATAAGCAGCTCCATTATGCAGTGAGTAAACCTGGTTTTGGGGTAAATGATGCCATGGGATGCTCAACTGCTCCCCCGTCCTCCACTGTGGGCTCGGATCTGATGCGATGTCTTCTGGGTAATGCTTTGCTTGGCTGACGTGAAATTATACCAGCAGAATTCCTCAAACAGATGCTACAAAAAGCTTCCAAAAGTGCGCAGTGAAAAACAGTAAATTAAGGCATACTTAGGGACACAGAAAAATAAAATGTCATCATTTGGGTAGATCCAAAGAGTGGGAAACAGGGCCAGGGATTTAGCTTAGTGGCTCTGCTGCCTGCTTTGTAAGCACAAGGTCCTGAGTTTGATCCCCGGTACCATACCAAAAAAAATTAATGAAAAAAAAAAAAAGTGGGAAACAAATACCAATACTTCTAGAGGGACTCATTGGGCTCCTTCATCAGTAGCCCTTTTAAAAATGGCTACAGGATTTAATTTTCCACTACTTCTAACTCAAAAAAGCCATAATCAGTGAAATCTGTTAAACTGCTAAATCCACAGTATGTTGTTTGGCTGAAATGAAATCAAGCACAAAACATTAGATAGAAAAATATTTATTAGATCTTTAATAAATTATGTGCACAGTTTTTTGAAAAGGTAGTCTTTTGCAATAAATGTTTAATAGATACCTTTAAGTTTTTTATGCCGCTTTTAAATTGTCATCTTTTTTCCAAAAACTATAGGTTTATAACTCTTATAGTAAACCACAAGGTGTTCACTGACTTTGTTATTTATTGTCAAACACCTCAACGATAAGGAAAAAAGAGCTTTCAAAATGGACATATTTCAGGCAAAATGCCAAAAAATTCAAGTCAATTTTATAACTTGATTTTCTAATAGTTTCTTTTATCAATGTTTATTATTCTCAAAAGGTTACCAATATATAGTCTAAATATCTGTAAAAAATGGTTTCTTTTAATGCTCCCCTTGTCGTAGTTGGTACCTTTTTTCTTGAGGCACATTCAAGTACTTTGGCAAACAGCAATGAAGTATCTCAGTGCCACATATGTTAAAACTTCACATTTACTGAGTCTGTGATTTTTACCCCTTTTGATCCCCTCTGTCTTTTTGCCAAGAACATCATTCCCCAGGAGATCCAAGTTCCTCTAGTTGTTTTCTCTGTGTTGTTTCTAGTTCTTCTAGTCTTTTGCGAAGGAGAGAGAGTTCCCTTTGATGTTGTTCCTCCTTAAAAATGATGCAGGAAAGCAAAGCAAAAGAAATTGTTAGAAAAACCAGAAGTCTCCCCTTACACAGGCCTGCAACAATCTGCAGGGAAGTGATAGCCATTTCAGCAGTCTAAAAACAAGAGGACGTACTACTAACTAGTCCTACTTCCCTCCCATCGTCTGTTCTCTAGGTGTGAATTCACTAGGGAGCAAATTAGAAAATACTAGGGTCTCAAGTATACCTGGCTACCTTGAAACAAGACTGGAGCTTAACAGCAGTTTCTTATAAACAAAGCACTTGGTCTGACATTCAATTCAATGACTAAAATCTGTGCTTATAATATTATAAAATATAATTACTTAGTCCTTCTAAAAACCATCCAATCAATTTTATTCCTTCACTAGTTTGGGGGCCTGACAGAGCAGAAAGAGCTAGGCTTGGAAATCAGACAGGTTTAAAACTTAACTTTGTCATTAAGCAACTTTAGGCAAGTTACTTCACCTTTTTGGCTCGGTTTCCTCAAATACGAACTGGAAATAAAAACACCTGCCCTTACTCGGTGTGGTGGCACACACCTCTAATCCCAGCATTTGGGAGGCTAAGGCAGGATCACTGAGAGCTTGAGGATAGCTTGAGCTACTTAGTGAGTTCAAGGCCAGCCTGAACTACATAGCCAGACCCTGTCTCATAAAAAACAACAAACAAGCCAAAACAATACTTGCCCTGAAAAGTATTTCATTAGTTTTAAATGACTGCATGCAAAAAGCATATCACATTGCACTACTAAATGCTCAACAGCAGAACATAAGCAAGTTTAAAAAGTCTACCTTATTCAAAAACTCATTATAACTTTCTTATCTGTCACTAAAAGATAGAAGAAACTCAAATCTACTTGTCAGCCAATTTTTTTGGTTCTCAAAAGAGAAGACATTAAGGCTAGCCTGAAGTGGGTATGCTATTTTGGTGGCTAACCTATTTCAACAGGTAAAAACCTCTAGAAGTGTTTGGCTGTTTTTCTTGGAGTAAATGTTCATACCTGCATATGAGGAGGGAAGCACAGTTCCATGCCTGGAACCATGGCTGATGACTGAAGGCCAACAGGATTGACAGATGCTGTCGGAGGTATATTAGGAACTAAAATTAGACTTCGAAATTCGTTATGTCTTCTCTGTATATCCTTTAGTCTTTTCTGAAGCTTTGTATATTCTTCAAAAGGAACATTTTGTCTTAAAGAGAAAAAAATAGTTACATTCTTTTTTAAGAGTTACACGCTCACTGGTAATGTTTTGTTTTGTTTTGTTGAGACAGAGGCCTGTTACGTAGCTCAGGCTATCCTTGAGCTCACTATGTAGTCCAGGCTGGCCTTGAACTCATGTGATTATCTTGTCTCAGCCTCCCGAGTGCTGGGATTACAGGCGTGCACTACCATGCCTGGCTTCGCAAAACATTTTAAATTGGAAGAGAATAATTTCTAAATTATAAGATGTATCTGTATATCATATATAAAATTGTACTTACACAGAAATATAACACTGTATCTTTATTACATATGATTATAATTATCACTGCAGACCATCAATTTATGCAGTCTTGTTTGCCAATTAATGAGATTAAAAATCTTTTCTGCTTTTGCCTTCATTTTCACTCTCTCCCCACCCATAAATCCCAAAACTAAAAGGAGACTCTACACCAAAAAATACCTTATTTTACAGAAGAAATCAAATAAGAATAAAGAAAATGCTAGGTGAGCTTTATGAAACTGCATTTTTCTAGGTGAAATATGGCCATAAATAGCATTTCATGTAGTTCAATCTAATTTTTGAACTGCAGGTATGACACTGTGATACAACAAAAATATATGTATTTGGTCTCTGCCACAATCCCAGGCAGCTCCTAAAACCCCTGGAATTCAGGAGTGAAAAAGAATATATTTTTAACAGTAATGAGATGACTGGTAGATGGGGGACTCTGGAAAGCTTTAGAATGAGGTACGGTCAGGAAGACCAAGGTATGGTTAGGGAGTCGAACTTTTGGCCACAGCCCACCTCCAGCTCTGGGGAGGGGAGAAGAGCTGAAGGTTGAGTTGCTCCCCAATGACCAGTAAAACAATCAACTCTGCTTATGAAGCTGCCATAAAACCCCAAAAGGACAGCACTGGGGGAGCTCCTGGATTCCTGCACACATGGAGGTTGGTCCCTGGAGGGTGATGAACATGGAACAAGGCTCGGGAGCTCCAAATCTCTCCCTGTGTCCCTCCTGCGGGACATTCGTCTATATCCTCCATAAATGTTCTTTATAATAAACTTGTGTAAATCACTTCCCTGAGTTCTGTGAGCTGCTCCAGCAAATTAACTGAACCCTGACAGAGGGTCGTAGGAAGCCCTATTTCCAGCCCGTTGGTCAGAAACACAGGTCCCAGCCTAAGCCTGTGAGCAGCACCTGCACTGGGGCAGACCTGTGGGAATGAGGCCTCAGACCCTGGGATCTGACATCATGCCCAGTTGACAGTCTCTGAATGGAATTATAGGGCACCCAGCCAATGTCTGCTGGAGAACTGACTGCTTGGCATAGGGGGAAACCTCTGCCCCCGTCAATGTTAATACTGGCTGTGTGTAAGGAGGAAAAACATTTGTTTTTTCCAGTAACTAATAGTAGAAAACCACAAAATTTGTGAAGATACTCAACTTTAAGAAAAAATAACAAGCATTAAAAAAATCTAACATTCTAGACCTTCATAGATGGTTACATTTTTGAGACAGGGTCTCACTATGTAGTTGAGACTGACCTGGAACTCACTATGTAGCCCAGGCTGGTCTCGAACTCACAGCGTTCCTCCTGCCTCAGCCTCCTGAGTGCTGAGATTACAGGCGTGTGCTACCAAACCCGGCATAGATGGTTACTTTTTAAATATGATTTCTGATCATCAGTCACACCAATAATCAAATATAGTTTCAGAGCCATCCAAAGTCCTAGATGACATGTCCATAGCTACCCAATCTCTGACATCCCCCTCCGTGGTACTCTCGCCCCCGCGTGCTGGCTCCATGTCTGTGACTGCCCCAGGGGTAGAGACTGGGCCCGATGTGGGGTGGGGTGGGCTGGCAGCTGCAGCGGTGGAGGTGAGAGGCGGCAGTGAGCCCTCCAGCGGAGGATGAAGTGACATTAATAGAAAAAACAGTAAGTTGAACTTGATTTTAGAATGAAATTGGTGGCATCCTACTTTAAGACAGCCTATCGTGAAGTTGGCATCAATCCCAGTCTAGAAACCTCTTGAGTGTTCTAAAAAGAAAAGTATTCATATTTTGGTAAGAACTACAACCAATGCCAAGTGCATACCATGAAATATCACTACATGGTATTCTTGGCAATTTCCATTAAAGAAAAGTCTAACAGTCACTAACACAGAAGGCTACCACTGACCAGCTAAAATCAAAAAGACTTTATTAACTTGAATCAAATGGGTCACACGATGCTACTACCAACACCTTCTCTGCTCGGAAAGTCGCAACGCTGTCATCTGTGCTCAGCTATGACTACAAAACTAGAAGCTATAGGTCAATCATAGTTTTCCACAGCAGGAAACCAAAACCTGCCTTTGATTCAAAGTTGTAGCCACAACTTTCAGACTTACACAATAGTCACAAGTGCTTTGTTATCTTAGCATCAACCACTCCTAGAGAGCAAAGCCAGTGACTATCTTTTTTGTCAATCCCAACCGTAATGCAAACACCTGTCACATGATAAATCCTTTGGTGTGAAGGAACATTCAGTCAGAAAGAAAAATAAAAGATAATGCATTAGGGGTTATCAAATAGTTTCAGAAATCATATATATATATATTATAAATAAAACAAAATACATTATACTCAGAAACAAAGTTCTATGACATCAAAATAATCATGTTGGTGCATACACACATTACCTGTTTAACACCTGATTTTCTGTTTCTAATTCTTCTTTCTTCGCCTCCAAGATTTCTACCTTTTCTTGCAGTCTCTTCATTTTGTTTTCATGAAGAGATTTTCTCTAAAAAATAATATGATTAAGTGTGTTAATACATAATTTCCTATTCAAACAAAATTATACAGTGAAAATTTTACATGCCAAAAGCTGTTTGAGAGGAACATTTTCAGTGGCTACCAGAAAGAGAGGAGTAGGCATGGTCCTTACTGAAAATTGGCAAGGATAAGAAGGCCCAGGTCTACCTCATATCCTTAGTGTGACAGAATCCTTATGAATGCCAAATCAGAAAACTGGTATCAATAACTAAATTGCTGCAAATAAAAATCTAAAAAGAGAAGAAGTCGTATTTTAATAATGAGTTTGTCATTTGCAAAGGAATCGTGAGCTCTTCATCTTCCCAGAACTGAAAAAAAAAAGACTGAAACAAAGTTCAAAATTAAAAGCATGCTTATAACTGAAGTTCCTACCAAAGCAAAAAATTAAAGGATCAGAATGCTAAGACAGAGTTTGAATTTATATCAGTTTCAAAGTATACCTTTCTAAATATTAAAAGAAAAATAATTTATATAATATACACAGTGAAAAGTTAACAATTATATGATTTTATTAAATTATATGGAAAAATATGAGCATAATGCAAAAGGAGTATGTGAACAAAAGTACTATTTCTCAGTTTCTATAAACAGGCTTTTGTTGTACTTTTTCAGTTATGTGAACCTAGGGCCTCAAACATTCTAGCACTGAGCTATATTCTAGCTCTTAAAACAGGAGCTCTAAATTGGCCATGCTCTAAGTTGAACTTGAAATCCTCCTGCCTCAGCCTAAGTAGCTGGAATCATAGGCATGTACCACCACATATGGCTACACTAAGGCTTCTGGGGTAGGGGGACTGGGATTGAACCCAAGGCCTTCTTCACACTGAAATACAACCCCGGCTGTTTTTAATTTGAGACAGGGTCTCTCCAAGTCACTAAATTACCTAGGTTGGGCTCAAACTTGTGGTCCTCCTGGTTCAGCCTCCCAGAACACTGGGATTACAGGCCTGCAACATCATCCTTGGTTGTTTTGTTTTATTTTGATAGATACATATAATGTTAGAATTCATTTGGTAGCTGCAAACCTTTTAAATGTTTATTTAATAAATTTCTATTAATGTAAAGCAAACTTATAGAAAAATGCATAGCATGTAAATGTAAAGCTCAATGAAAAATCAGCCAGGAGAAGCTGATATGCTCATCTCACACGTCAAGAGCACTCAGAAGGGCCCCTACCCTTCCCTCTTTCACTCATCAGCCCCTTCATCCTCTGAAAAGGTTATCAACTAATTTATTTCCAAAGCTACAGTTTAGTTTTTCTATTTGTAAAACTTCATATGAAGTTCTTTGGTAAGTTACTTTTTTCTTTCACTTAACATGACGTTTGTGAGATTTACTCATGTTAATACTTACAGGTGTCAGTTCTTTCACAGCCACATACTGCAGTCCCCTTATGACTATTACATAATTTGTTGTATTTGCCTAATTCACTACTAAGGGTCATCTGGATTACTTCTACTTGGAAGTAATGCCAGTATCACTTCTCATCAATCCCATGGCTCCACATCCACCAGAACCCGAGGGTCTCCTCATTCTCTTCCTGTCCACCCAGGCAGATGAACCACTCTTGACCTGTGTGGTCACAAGTGTTGAAGTGTGCACAGGTAATGAAGGCATCCACCCACCTACCCATATATGTAAGAAATCATATAGCATATATTTTGCATAAGGATTTTTTTCTCAATATTTTAAGATTAAGACGTGTTACTGCATGTCACAGTAGTTTTGTTGTCATCTATTATGCTAATGTACCACATTTTTCCACTTTTTTGTTGAACTATTCCCAATTTGAGACACTGAAAGGTTTCTAATGAATATTCCTGAACAATTTTTTTTCTTGTACTGGGTATCAAACTTAGGACCTTGCACTTGTGAGGAAGGCACGGTGTCACTGAGCTAAATCCCTGGCCAATCCTGAACACATTTTTGATGGATATATGGTCCTCATTCTGACTATATACCTAAAGCTAGGATTACAGAGTGTTCATGTTTTAGTATATACCGTCACTTTTCTAAATGGATTATAGCAGTTATATGTCCACCACCAAGATATAAAAGCTCCAGCTGTTCTACATCCTTGCCAATACATGGTAAGGTCAGTCTTTTAAATTTTACCTATTCTGGTGGACTATGGTAGTTTTGTAGTTTTTATTGGTATTTTCTTGACAGCTGTTGAGTGCCTTGTGCGCACTGGTCATCTGTATACCCATCTGTATATGATGTGTACATCATAGTCTTCTGCTCATTTAAAGAAAATTGTTTTGAGTAACCAGTTTCTTAACTGATTTGTAAGAGTTCTTTATGAATTCACAATATGACTCCTTTGTAGCTATACATATCACACATTGACCTAGTCCCAGAATACGGTAGCACTTTGAAAAAAAGTTTTTTTTTGTTTTTGTTTTTGTTTTTTCTTTTTATTGAGGTTATTGGTATTGAAAAAAAGTTTTTAGTTTTAATAAAATTATCAATCATTTGTAGTTAGTACTTTTTGTGTTCAATTTTAAGAAATCTTTACTTACTCCAAGTTCCTAAGATTTTCTTCTAACATTTCTTCTAAAAGCTTTATTTTTTCCTTTGACATTTAGGTCTTTAGGTTCGTTTTTACCTGTGTTATAAGTCTGAGTTAAGGATAACCAATGGATATAGTACCCCAACAGGAGTCCATATACTTGTTGGTCTATTTGTGGACTCTATTCTGTTCCATTTGTCTATTTATATCTTCCCTATGACAATGCCACAGTCTGAATTACTGCAGATTATAATAAATGTTACTTCTAGCAGTGTAAGTCCTCTGGCTTTACAGTTCTTCAAGATTGCCTTGATTATTCTACTTCTTTATATTCTCATATAAATTTTAGGATCTGCTTTATTTCCACAAATAACCTGCTGAGAGATTTTGATTAAGATTGCATCAAATTTACAGTTTAATGTAGGAAGAACTGACATCTTAATAATAATAGTGAATCTTTTAAATCATGAACGTGTTAAGATTTCCACTTTAAGCATTCTTAAATTTTTCTAAGCAGTATTTCTATTTTTTAATGTAGAAGTCTTGCATATCTTTCCTTAGATTTGCTCCTGGATATTTTGTTTTTTATGCTACTGTAAATGCCATTTAAATATTTTATTTTGTATTTGATATGTGCATAAAGATAACTGATAATTGTCACTTGACCTTGTATCCAGCAACTTAAAAATTTCACATACTTTAATACTTTATAGATTGGTTTATATTTTATACACATACATTTATGTCATCCGTGAATGACAATTTTACTTCCTCCTCTTCAACTGATACAGCCACTTCTTTTTCTTGATTTATTATATTAACTAGAGCCAAAATAAAACAGTGAGTAAAATGGTGACAGTGGGCCTACTTGCCTTGTTCCTGAATTTAGGTGAATTGAAGAAGAATTTAAACAGTAAGTTCAGTAAGTTAGTTGTAGGATTTTTATAGATACCACCTATCAGATTGAAAATTTCCTTCTACTTCTAATTTGATGTTTTCTTTTTTTTAAATCAGAAAAGTGTTGAATTTTGTAAAGTTGTCTTTCTGCATCTAGGTAGATAATCAAACTAGGGTTTTTTCCCCCAGTACTGAAAACTGGACTAGAGGCCTTTGTACTGAGCTATATCCCTAGCACTTTTTTTGGTTTGATATTTTGAGTCAGGGTCCTATTAATATTCAAGCTAGGGTCAAACTTGGAATTCTCCTGCCTCAGCTTTCCTGAGTGCTGGGATTATGGGCATGGACCACCACCCCTGGCAGATCCCCTTCTTTGTTCTTTTACTGCTGAATTATACTGATCAGTTTTGCTCGCTGCTAAGTGGCTTTTATCCCTAGAATTAAGCCTACATGCTCATATTACCATTTTACTATATCACTGCATTCAGCCTAATATTATTTTTATGTCAATGTTTATGATACGGTTTTTCTTATAATGACCGTGTCAGGTTCAAGGCTCTTAAAATAAGTGAGGATGTTCTTCTTACTTTTTCTATTTTCTACTTTCTGGGAAAGTTTGTGTCAAGACTGGTATATTTCTTCCTTAAGTATTTGGGAGAATTTACCAGTGAAGCCAAATGAGGCATTTTCTTTGTAGAAGGTTTTTAATTAAGGATTCCATTTCTTTAATAGAAGACACTTCAAATCCCTAATTCTTCTTGCATTCCATTTTACAATGTTCTTCAAGGAATATGTTCATTTAATCTAAATAGCAAATAAATACCACAATCATTTTTAATATCCTCTTTATTTTACTCTCTGTATGTAGTTATATCTGCTTTTTCATTAGTGGTATCATTTACTTGTGTTATCTGATCTAATTTTATGGGTTGTGTAAGAAGAATCAATCTTACTAAGGCTTTATCAGGTTTATCAATCTTCAAACACCAACCCTTAGAATTTCCAATTTTCCACTTTTGCTGCCTGTTTCATGATTTCTACTTGTATCTTGAAGATGCTGGCAATGTCCCTTGTCAAATCTATCCACTGAGCTAATAATTTAGTTACTGTATTTTTTAGTTCTAAGCTTTTTAAAGGCTTTCCAGTTGTCTGGTACAATTTTCAAGCTTCTATTTCTGAGCATGTGAAAAATGCTTATTTTTAAATTTCTATTTGATTACTTTGTTATCTGGATCCCCTTTGGGAGTCTGTTTATTCTGGTTATTTTTCCTGTTTTTCTATATTATATTCATTATGTGACTATTTTTGTATTTTTAAAAATTAATACAATGTATTTCTTAGAGCAGTTTTAAGTTTACAGAAAACTGAACAGAAAGTAAAGAATTCCCATAAACTGCCTCCACCACCAATAACACCCTACATTGTTGTGGTATAAAAATTGATACTGATATGCTATTATTATAATTATTTTTGTTTTGTTTTGTTTTTTGAGACAGGATCTCACCATTTAGTTGAGACTGACCTGGAACTCACTATGTAGCCCAGGCTGGTCTTGAATT